AATGGCTGAAACTAAACTTCAGCTAGTATATTACTGAAATAGTGCCTTATGCACATGCCTCGCTATGATGTAACTGCCGCTGAATAAATTCCTACCTCTGTGTCCAAAAATGGATATCACCTCAAATATGTTATAAAAAACCAAGCCTGCAGTACATAAGGTTTGAAAAACCAACAATAAAAACAAACGGTCTACTCATATGAGATACTATTAAGAATGATATGGTATATTTCAATTTATTAGGACTTTGTGGGTGGCAGGTTCAGTGCCTTCACGGGCTATGAAGCTGTACAGTCTCAAGAGTGTGCAGAAGCAGTGAAATCTTTTGACTCCAAGCACGACTAACGAGCACACCTCAGTCCTGACCTCAACACCTCTGCCACTCTGTGCTGAATCTCTGCCAGATGTTTGAGCTGTGATAAATTGGGTGTCACTGTGGTGTCATGAGCTGGAGTCCACTGGGGCTAATTACAGACCATCACTCTTCTCTTGCTCTGTGTCCCCCAGACAGACTTTAAACCAGGTCTACTTCGGTGTTAAAAAGGTCAATAAGTCAAGGGCAAAAATTGTCTCTGGAGGACAAAAAGAGATAAAAATGCATGGCCTTTTTTGGGTAAATAAGATTTTTTTTTAATTAGCAAATCTGTATAGAAAGATCTCTCTGGAATTTGTTGTCAAGTTTACTGAAAATAAATGAAGTAATTTTTTTCATATTCTAATCACGATGTAATAAGCCTTTTTGAAGTTAACACGCATGATTCCAGCATACAAATGTGCTGTAAAAATGTTTGTGTCATGACCCCAAAAGCAAGTCATTTGCTATTTTTTTCTTGATTTGTATTTCTAAACAATTCGAATAAGATCAGACTGTGACATTTGTTTCATGCAGGTGATGTAAGCACAAATTAAATGAAAAAGCAGGTCAAAAGGAGTCAAAAGAAGTTATGAGAATTCAGTCTGCACTGTGCTTTACTGTCCATGTATACAGACTTAGCATTTACTAAAAATCCCCCTGTGTTGCTTCATAATTAATGCCATACATAAAGTGGGAGATGGATTGGTCAAACTGCATTTGAAGCACAAAAGCACAGGCCTCCACACACCTAGGGCATTCCTGTGAGCCTGTAAGTATGAGTTTTGATATTTATGTAAAGAGTACAAAAGGAAATCTGTTCACAATGGCCCTTTTAAGAGGTCCTTTCTGCATGGCAGGTCAGCAGGTGAAAACAGAAAACTAGCCAGTTATCATTTGTGATCTAAAATTATAGCTTTTGTCTCAGTGTTTAAGGAGGCGGGAGTTCCTTTTAAACACACCATGCAGCACCACAGCGATTTCACTACTACACAATAGTAGGAAGAAGTTGGTTAGCATTTTAGTTTTTATCCCCTGCATATACTGTCTGTATGTAAATTGTGCAGAAAAGTCTACACCCTGCCACATCCTGAAATGTGCAGATGTCAAAACGTCAGCACTTAGGAACCCATTGTACTGTGTTGCTGAAGACCCCTGTTGGAGAGCAGCTTTCAATAAGACAGGTTAGACCTTCACCGGAATTCCGCGGTGCTCCCAGTGTCTCCTCATTTACTACTCATGTCCAGAAGGGGGCGCTGCAAGAGCTGCACAGATTCTAAGAGATTCCAGTTGAGTCTTAAACTGTCCTCACTAAAGCACACAACGCGACATACAGTAGCTGAATGCAATTCATGCTTTATGACCGTCTGGGGGAAAAGCTGTTTTACAGCCGCGTCCAACACAACAATATGACAAAACAACATCACCAACAAAGAGTTTAACAATCTTGCACAATGAAAGCGCAACAATGTTTCAGGAGATAAGAGAATCGTTTTCTTTCATGAACAATGAGATTGCACAGGGGATGAACAGGGGATGAAGTGTTTTACAGATAGAAAATGTCCCAGAGATCAGAGTTTTGAGACAAAAACATTTTTTCTTGCTTTCCAACAGAGACCAAAAAGGCCATAATGTCTAAAAACTCCCTATGCATTCACTGTGTGAGGATGCATCACATAATCAAAGAGGTTGGGGTTCTTCCACATTAGTTTTTCAAACCTAAAGTTCATCACTAGCAAGGATTTATTTTCTATACTAACTAGAAGTTTAGTGGATTAAAAAAATAGTCGAACTGTGGCACTGTGAGTTTAAATCAACAATTAAGTCACGATTCGCAGTAGAGGACATGCTACTTTATTTGTATTTATCAGCCTGTCCTTTATTATTATTTCCTAATCAGTCAAAGCACATACAGTATCACTGAAACAGAATGCTGATTATTAGAGTATTTCAGTGCAGCTGCCTTGAGAGATATCTTTAAATTACCTGCAACACAAAGCCTTCAGCTCTGGGGGTTTTCATTTCTCAAAGTGCAAAGAAATTGTTTTGCAAGTAGCTGTATTTTCTCAATTTAAACTCTGCTCTTAAGATTATCAGGATTCATGAAAAAAGCTTTGTGAAAATTCATATAATTAAAGAATTCACATCTAGATGGTCAATTGATAGAAAAACTAGTCTTCAATTCTGTCTTCTATAAAAGATACAACAAAACTCAGATTAAGGTGACCAACCTTTTAGCAATCTATAGCAGATACAGTTATATGCAAAAAATCAGTTATTTGCAATACTCAGATGGTGACACACTGTTGCTCTTAAAACACATCTCACTTCTGATTTACTAAAGTCCTAACAGAGTAAAGAGAATTATGTTGTACCTTTCAATTTTGTGCCAGTCAAGCTTACCAATGTGGTCACAAAGGAACAGCTCTGAGTGTTAGCAGCCTCCAGAGCATATTTGTTATGAGTCAAGGGAAGATTTCCCTCCAAATAATATAGGGATCCTAATCCCTAAAGTAACTCGGTATCATTCTCTCCGTTTAACAGGAAGGGTCTACTTCCAAATTACAGTTAAATGAAGAAGGGCAAGAAAATCTGCAGTGTTTAATCAGGTTTCAGCTGCCCATCATGGGTTGGTTATTAATGGCCTCAAATTCTTGGCTTATCCAAGAAACACCGCCCTCACACTCCCACTAACGAACACGTTTTGTTTATTTTTTAAATACTGTATTTGGCTTGGTCTCTCCTGCACAAAGCGATGTTGGACAGAGATCGGCACAGCATCACCGTTCAGGGCGGGGGATCGTGGAACAGAAAGCTTGCTGTCGTGAAGCCTAGCACCGACGCGCTCAGGGGGGCGGGGAAATCCACTGGGGGGGGGGTGAGGCGTCCGAGCACAGAATACCTGACAACATCAGGAGGGCACGGAGGAAACCTGTGCTCTAGCTGCTAGGCTCTGTCCCCTCCCCTTCGCTACACTGAATTAAAAGAGGCATTTCAGGGGCTCAGAGGATTTCAACTCTTCTTACCACTTATTTCATGCACAGATCTGGCCATTCGAAGCAGGGACACAAAAGCCTGATAAATGGAAAGAAACATGGATTGCTCTGTTTTTCCAATAAGGGAGGTATGAATGAATGGCATGATAACTAATTAGAAATGTTAAGTATCACTTGAGGTTCTTAAACATTCTGAGTATCCAGACATCATGGAATGCAATTCAGAATTGAGAGTTGTACCCACTTTTGTTTAAATGAACCCCTGGACTCCACGTCAGGGTATGTTAATAAATGATATACTTAAGTAAATATATATATATCCTTCTTTAGGGATATTTTTTCAGTATATAATTCATAAAAGAGCTGGAACTGAATCTATGTGTTGCACAATCATTTACAATACAACACAAATTCAAGTGACTCAAAACCATCACACTGCAAACTGCACAACATTGGCAAGCTGCTGCAGCCCCAAGTACAGCACTTGTCAAAGGGAAGTCTTTGCAACAGCTGCATTAATTATTTTTACATTAAGGCACATTTTTCCCCTCCACTCAATCAATAAAGAGCTGGTAGTTTGTTTTTTTAATGCGTAACTGTCCTTCACACTAACATAGTGTGGGAAACGTTTAACTATGTTCCTACAGAAAGTCTTATGGAATGCAAGGCTTTGGCTGTTTGGTAAACAAAGAGTCAGTTTCCAGGCGGACTTTTGCTTTTTTTTCCTTCCAATTAGGGCTGAGGTAACAGCTAAGCATGGAAAGACTTCACAGACAGCTGAAGGATCTGTGGGCCGTCAAGAAGCAGAAGTGGTCTGGGTCAGATTTTTTATGGTATGTAAGTCAAATACTTAACATTTCTAGTCAGGATTGTATTACAAGTGAAGTGTAACACATAGAAACTGTTTGGAGTGGAAACGCTTATGTTTAATGGATTAGGAAGCAGCATATTTAATTTTCCAGAGAGAAGAACCAGATGGCACTATAAAGTTTCACATTGTGGTGCTTGCAAGTAATATCCATCGTTCAAGAAAATAAACTAAAAATCAAGCAAACTATACACTATTCCACCTCAACAAGTACATCAACCCACATTAAGGATGTGCTTCCCAATTATTGTCTGGTTTCCCTTAATGCCCTTAATGTTGATCATCATCCTTCCCTTTACTAAAACTTACACATGCGGCACCTTTAAACACAAAAGTAAGCAAGTCATATTCGGAAACACAAGAGTAAAAACTCTTTCTGGGCTACTTCCTCTGCTGTGCCCTTCAGTCCTTCCAAAAGCATAGGCCCTTCCTATGTAAACTGAAGCATACACATTTTTCAAACTTAATATTTTATTCAGGGTCTGAATGCTGAAACTGGAGACTTCTAATGTTGCATGTATAAATATTCAGGCCCGTCAAGCAGTAATCAGCAATATCAAGCAATCAAGTAATATCCAGCAGCCATATCATCCTGCAACAATTCGCCAACAACGTGTGGCGAAGGTGGTGTGAATAAAAACATGTAATGCTAGTAGCAATGCTACCTCAAACTGTCATGGCTACAAGCTTTAAAACAACAAAACATGAAAACTGTGAAAGGGAAACTCTTTTGTGTTCCTAAATCAATACCCTAGGTGTTGTGGCAGACAGGAAGGAAGCCTACCACATGTACTTTGGTTTGGTTTCCACTTCTGGGCCTTGGCCTTCTCAGTCTGGGCTGGCAGGACAGGAGGTCCCATCAGAATGCACACTGATGGAAGGCGTCTCTTAGTTACAGTGCACGGGAGAAACCTGAGATAGCAGGAAGACACAAGGGAAGACAAAGACATTTGATTATCCAAACTTAGGATAACCAAATGTACTGCACGTACTGTGATAATCTCCTAATACCACCCCTACCTCAACTACCAAACACAGCATTGTGGATATCCAAACATAAATGTAGCATGCCTAATGAACTCCTAACCCCTAATTTAACTACCAGGAAATACCTGCAAATGCAGCACAAGTGGAGTCTTCTTTACACAGGCCTCTCCTTCCAGACTACTGCTGGTTAGGAAGAACATGGAAGGAGTACAGGACAGTAACCATTAACTGCTTAATGCAAGCTTAATAATTAGCAGCACAGGCAGTCCAGTCCAGTCTGGGGAAAACAACAAAAACAAGATAAAAGAGTTAAGTATCCTCCTGCAGATTAAAAGAGGCAGGCATTGTTGCCCTCACAGCTGTTCCTTCGTGATCATGAGCTAAGTGACTCTTCTGCTGACACCCATGCACTGTGACCACTGAGGCCTGACACTCACTGACAATGGGAACTTCCTTACAGGAGAGCGACACTATTGTGAAGGCGCACCCTGTAGTAAACTCTGGGGAGGGGGCTCAGATTGTACTTTGTCTGCAGCTCTAATACAGAGACAGTACAAGCCAGTTTTGTCACTCTACCCAAGTGACCTCCTAACCCACAAAGCATCCAAAGAGAGACTAAACAGGACAATAGGCTCTGATGTCTGTCTCTACGTACCCCGGAGTCCTGGCCAAATTTCCCATTGGTCCTTACCAATCATGGCCTCCTAATAATCCCCATCTATGAATTGGCTTCATTACTCTGCTCTCCTCCCCACTGATAGCTGATGTGTGGTGAGCGTTCTGGTGCACTATGGCTGCTGTCGCATCATGTGGTGGTGGAGGGGAGTCCCCATTACCTGTAAAGCGCTTTGAGTGGAGTGTCCAGAAAAGCGCTATATAAGTGTAAGCAATTATTATTAATTATTATTACGTATAAGCATTTGTTTTTTTAACGTGTGGATTTGCCTGTTGCCGATCTCCCTGGCAGATGATGATCAACTCTGCTTTTATAGCTACAACCCTTGTACCAAGAGTAAAAAAGACAACAACATGCTTTCCTATGAACCTACAGTGTATTTGTCAGAGGTATCTACTACCTTCCAGAGCACAAGCCCTGGCACATTCTATAGGACAGTGACTGACGCGGCTCTCACTGAAAACATGGCCAATCCTAGACACTGCTGCTGCAAGGCAGTTCAAGTTTATGCAACCATGGTGATGAACCACTCAATCCCCATACACTGTCAACTAACAATACAGTCCAGATGTTGCTGGGCACAACCTTGTGCTTTGAAACAAGCCTTGACTAGTTGTGCTACACAGGAGCTAGTCTGCATGCTTGCATCTTGGCTCAGCATACAGTTATATGATATGTTAGGGGTGGCTGTAGATCATTTTCAAGAAGAGAGTGAAGGTTGAAATGGTCTTTGAACAACAGGTTGTAGCAGGCGCATCTACACCAACTTAAAAGTAGCCATTACTTGAAAGAAATGCTGGAAAGACTTTGGGGAGGTAAAAAAAAACAACTTTGAATCTTCCTATTTCAGCTTTTCCACTAGCACAATTAGCTTCGGCATTACTTTCATGTTAATCTTTATGTTAATAAAAAAGATAATGAGAGTTTTGCCTTTGGTAGTTTCTGACTTGTTTAGAGGGAGCGGAAACAGGAGAAGAGCATGCTCATAAAACAAACTACAGTTCGGCTACACTGCTTTGAACAGCAGACAGATTCATAATAACATAGACAAAGGCCCAGAGGAACAGGAATGAAGCTTTGATTTTCTCCCATTGCTGAACACATTACACAGAGACACACACTCTACTCTAGTCACTGTTGTACAAGGACTGAAAAGCAATTCTGTTGGTTCGAACAGCTGGTTTGCATGTGTACTAGGGGGTCAATACACTGGCCAGGGTATTGGTCGTTTAAGAACCTACAGTTACCACGTGCAGAAAAGCTCGTTCCCTGCCCTGTTAATGCCCTCTGAAAAGAAAAGCAGCACTCTGCCTATCACGCGTGAGAAAAAAAAATAGCTTTCAGGGCAATGTGAGGGTTTTATTTTGCACTGGCAGTTTTGTAACCTTCCTGTATTGTCCCTGAGGTATCCTATCATACAGCTCTCAGCCTTTCAGCACATTTCCTTTTTTGTGCGTTCTGTACAAATGGATAACTCCTGCGGTAACGCTTCAGGTGTGGACTAACGTCACACCCACGCTTCTCTCCAATTCAGGAGGAGCCATCAAGGCAGCTGCGTGAAAATACACAAAGGAAGGCATCCAAACGGTGAGGAGGACCTGTCTCTCACAGTAAGTGAAAGGTGCCGTGATTGTTCCAAGGGTTTCATCACAATTGTGACTGCAAGGAAAGTAGCCGTTCTTCCATTTCTCTTTCAAAGAGTTTTTTGTTTTTTCAGATATGACTGAACCTCGTGCCGGCTGATCTCGTTTTGCTATGGTCTTACACAAAATTTGAATTTTTAAACTCCAGACACCTTAAATTTACACTAAAGCCGGCTAGAATCTCCATGTACCTACTGTATCGCTATTATGGTTTGAGTAACATGGCAGCAAAGATTCCTTATTAATGGCCAAGTATTTGTTGTCACTGGGAAATTTAGGATCTTTCAGATAACAGGCAGGCAGGAAATCTTGACTTGCTACTTGACCTAGCTATCTGGTGTCATATTTGTACAAATACCATACTTTTTTTCCCCCAGTGACACAAAAAAAGGATTCATACAAAGAAAGGATTGTTGTTGTTTTTTCCCCACAATCAGGCGCATAATTATGCAGAGCTTCAGGTAGGATAAGAGATCAAACATTTTCTTCTACTGAGTGATGAGTCTGTCTTACAAACCAAAGCTTTCGAAATCACTCTCAGTGGCTTAAAAAAGCAGGGTCACAAAAACAAAATGATAGATCTTAAGTTTAATGTCTGAACACACCAGGAGTATCGATAGATTACACCAATAAGAAGAGGCACCACCATGAAGATGTTATGGTATGGGAGGTATTTATGTCAAATAACTCCACAGTGTTAAACTCTGACATCACATGAACTTAGGTCCTTATGATTATTTTTCATTAAAATCTTTCTTATCTTTATTAATATAAATGCACATTGCTTCCTTTAGTCATGTTGCCTTCTGGTACTGTTCCAGGTATGCACATAGCAGCCCGTCATTCCAAACTTGCCAGGCTGTTTGGCATCGCAGGAACAAGCTGGTCTGCACTTCCTGCAAGCCAGCCCAAACTGCCATTATTTTAAATTATCAAACCGTGTATTACCCATAAGAAAGAAAAAGACTTTCACATGGTGGAACAGAGAATAAGCTCAAAACTATTGTTCAGATTTCAACAATTAATAGCATTAATAGCCCTTAAAAATGGTTGAGGAAAGGAGAAGTGTCAAAGACATGTCAAGTCCGAAAGAGAAGGGCCGGCCATAACCTTAAAAATGAAGATGTCAAAGCTGCCGAAGTTTCCATACGGAACCAAATTCTCCCTTTAAACTTATTTTCTACTTAAGAAGCACACAAACTTCACGAATGTGGTTTCGTAACATAACCTATTCCTAAGTTGAGGACCAAGTGTCATTAAAAAAAACAGATGACCATATTACAAAGAAGAAGAAACCTCAAATAAATGAGATTTTGCCATTTCTAAAAAAAAATCCAGACTCAGCACAGTTTTAGATTGCAGTATTCAAAATTATCTGAGCAATATTCCAGTAATACGATCTTTTATTGTTATTGTTTATTGATGTTGGTTTTACTTGTTGTTTTTATTTTAGTCACTGTCCTTTGTGTGTTCTAAATACAGTACATACAGGAAGGAGTCCTTTTATTGGAGCATTAGCAAAATTTAAACATTCCAAAAGCAATACAGCATTCTTTTTTAGGATTCATTACAATTATATTCTTTTTCTGCCCTTGTTGACCTTGTCCAGGATAAATAGATTAAAAAAGGCTCAGCGGAGAGCTTATATTGTAACTGCACCACCATTTATGAATGCGGCCTACAGTATTCAACGCCAAGTTCTCCTCACCAACCTGCCTTTCTTCCAGATTATAGCTCTCCGTACTCTGTGAGCTGAATGCTTACAGCCATTCACAGGCCTGTGTGCTGCCCGATTTATAAGCTCCCATTTCAGAGCTGGCCAGGCCTCTCCAATGGGAGCCAGCCTCACTCACAAAGGATCAGCACTAAACTGGAAGGTTATCTAATCTGAACGAACCTACACCGCATTCTGCCAAAGACTTAATCATTGTAGTAACTCCCCAGGAACCTGGATTTCAGGATGAGTTCAACAGGCCTAGAGGTGGTCTGAATCTAAGCTGAGTCTTTTCCAAACCGATTCCTTTGAGGAGGTTTAAGCACTTACTGTACTGTCAAATTACCTATACCCCAAATTTTCCCATTTTGAACTCAAAACTTCATTTTCTGTTACACTACCACAGATTTAAAAACACAGGTTATTCAACCCTCCATTTTCTAACTGCTTCATCCAAATCAGGGTCACGGGGGAGCTGGAGCCTATCCCAGCAAGCACCGGGAACGAGACAGGATACACCCTGGACAGGACGCCAGTGCATCACAGGATACACACAGGCACAAATACACGCACACACACTCACTCCAGGGCCAGTTTTCCCAGAAGCCAATTAACTTACCAGTATGTCTTTGTTTTGTGGGAGGAAACTGGAGCACCTGGAGGAAAACCATGCAAACAAGGGGAGAACATACTCACGCCACGTTAATAGCACCCCGGGTCTGGAACTGAGGCAGCAATACTAACCACTGCGCCCACATGCCACGCAAAACAGGTTATAAACCTTTTTTGTTTACCAGTTATCCAAATTCATGGCTTCCTTCTAAGCCTTTCTTATTGACTCTGCTGCTGCTTCTGCTCAGATGGTTATCTGCCACGATACACAGATACTTCA